CCCCACCCCCTGACATCACCAGAAGTGTCAGAAGGCAACACCCACCGCTCAGGCTCCACTGGACTGTTTTGGATTGCTAGCTACTGGGGGGGGGAGAGAATGTGCAGATTTGTCCTTGCAGAGGAGGGAGAGCTTGTACCTGAATAAAACTTGGTCTTAAAGGTGCCACTGGACTGTTTTTTTGGGGGGGGGCTCTGCAACTTACCTGGCTGCTTCTTGCTCTGACTGAGGGCTGCTGGGAGCAGGGGGTGGGGCTTGTTGCATGTGCCCGCCCCCTGGGCTCTTTACTGCCAGAGCTGCGCTCCTACAGGAAATGACCCCTAGATGCAACCATCCACCCACGGCCTGTAACGCCTCCTCCAGCTCTCCAGGGGCCATATCCAGGTGGCCATCCGTCAGTAGATGGAGCTGGGTGTCATCAGCGTACTGATGACACCCAAGCCCATACCTCCGGATAATCTGGGCGAGGGGGCGCATGTTGATATTGAATAACATAGGGGAGAAAATTGCTCCCTGCGGGAGACCACATTCCCGTGGGTGTCGCTGGGACAGATCTCCCCCAAGTGCTACCCTCTGTCCCTGACCTAGGAGGAAGGAGGCTAGCCACTGCAAGGCTCAGGAAAGATGGCTCCAGAGCCAACTAATTTATGCAGTTAGCCAAATTGCTTGCTCACAACTTTAATGGCAGTAGCTCACAAAGTAGAATTTTTGCTCACAAGACTCCACAGCTTAGAGGAAGCATTGGCTGCCACCACTTCCTGCAGCAGTGATTTTCATTTATTAATTACTCTTTGGGTGTAGAAGAAGATAGTGTATCTTATGCATGGTAATGTGGCCCACTGTCCCGTTTCCTTTATTAAAGCACCGTCTTGCATCATTGTGCTATGATACACCCCTATTACCTGTTAATTCAGTTTTACGTAGTTTGCAGAATATCAGAAATGTTGGGGGCCTTCTGAACTTCCTCAGGCAGGCCATTCCCTAAAAGGGGGCCACAGCAGAGAGGGCCATGTGTACAGGCAGTTGTTGATCTTGCCCCAAAATCAAACTTGTTTTATCGCTTTAACAATAAATGTATGATCTGTAACTTAGCATATACGATGCTACTACTTGGTATATTTTGGGGGGTTAAAAATATGAATGTCTTGTTTTCTATATGTAAAATTGCAGATATTTTCAGTAGTTCGGAGAGGGCTGGGAATTGCTACACCTTATGCCACTTTAGCGGGGAACCTTTACCTTTACCTTTATGCCACTTTAGCAGATGTATCTTAATTTTTTGCCAGTGGAGAGGTAGAAACCCATTGAAGATTATGGTCTATTTCACTATATGTAATAAACAGATAAACAATGGCTACAATGTCGTGTACAATGAGACCTGACATAGGTGCGAATGCCGGGCGGATTTAAAGGGCGCGATCAGACAACAACATCTGGGAAGCGCCCTGCAGCCGTCGGCAACCCGTTCTGCTCTGCCGCAGAAGCGGAGTTAAAAGACACCAGGGAAAATCTGGTAGTTAACGGGTTGCAACGGGCCACGGATGGACTTTTCCCTGTCTGATCGCTCCAGCACGCTCTCATGCCATGGGTATGGTCTGATCAGGCCATTCCGACTGTGCTGTTGTCCCCCCCCCCCTTCGCAGTATGCGCATCATTGCAAACTCCATAGGGAGCCCTTGGCACGGCGGTGCAATTCATCAATCCCTCGGTTAAGCGCATGGGGGGGGAACGGCACCAACCCTCCCCCCCGACTCATCCGCAGTTGCGTTTGGTCACGCACTGAAGGAATGCACCCGCAGCTTCAAAAGGAGGCGGGTCAAATAGCCTCGCTCCCCCCACACACACATTTTTTCTGGCGCGTGTGACCGTAACCAATGTGTAACAATTCATTAATGACCACTGAATAAGGCTTTCACAACCGAAATCCATATAGTCTGGTGATTACAGAGTTTGGTCTGATAATATCAGTGTGATTTGTGTGACATCCTTGTGTGTATTATTGTCTGTTATCCTTGTTTGTCTCTGAAGTGCTGCTGAACTCAGAGCCAGTTGTTGTTATCCTGTTCATTATTTGTACTACTCAAGCGGGAGGTTCCATACTTTCGAACTCTTCCTGGTTTCGGGTAGCTGTGGAAGAGCAGTGTACCCTCACAGGTGGAGATGCGGGACAGCCACTGAATGTCTCAACCTCTCAGTGGACCCGAAGCAAAATGGCACTCGCGGGGCACTCGCGGATCACTGGGGGGGTGTTTCGCAACACTTTCCCCTTTCAAAAACTGGCCACCTCACGAGTTTGTATGTGTTCTTCTTGCAGCCTCTCAAAGGGCCTCCACAGCAAGATCTCCCCCATCTGTTGCACAATCTCGGTCAGTTTCTGTTCCCGTGGGCTTCGGCGCACCCTCTTCTGATGGCACCCCACTTTCTCCTCCACGTAACCAGCCAAGACCAACCAGCAACCCACTCCCCACATGTGTAAATGCCTTGGCACCTGCACCCTCAGCACCCCTCCCAGATGTCGTGGATTACAGGTCTCCAGTTCAAGAAACCAAGTTTCCATCCTGGAGTGGCGAGACCCTCCCACTTTCCGATCCCACTGAGACAACAGCAGCCAGCTGCTTTGAGCAAGGCTTAGAAGAAAAGGTTGGTTTGTCTTCCTTTGGCTTTGGGTGCTAGGGGAACTCAGTAGTGAAACTCGTTACTGTTTAGGGGCACTGATATTGCAGGGGCTACGTGCAGCACCGAAGTGGCCAGCCACAGCCTCTGGCCAGGTGTTTCGATTCTGCATTAGGTGAACGGAATAAGGATGGAGTGGGAGAAGACATGGGCTTGTGCTGTGTAGAGATGTGAAGGCCCGGAAAAAAACTGGAAAAATTCGGGGAAAAAATGGAAAAAGAAAAGAAAAGAAATTGATTATGGAATGTTTTATTTTAACATGATAAGTAAAATATTTTAAGACAAGGTGTTCAAATATTTTCCAAATCATTTCTAAAATATATAATGGTATCAGATTGATCTAATTTCTGTGCACTGAGGACAAGCAAGTCCTAGGTTACAAACTGAACTCTCCAATGCAAGAACAAGATGCATTTCTTCCTTTAGGAGGTGCGATTGTCAGAAGAAAATAAAAAGGTTTCAGTTTTGTTTTTGCATGTGGGTGGGTATTCTGTTTGTAATAATTGTTTGGGTACACTATATTTTTAATATGCTAGTTGTGATAATTTCATGCCAAGTAAAAATGTCCATAGTCATTTTTTATGTTCCTAAAGTAACAGAATGACTTTCAATCTAGAAAAGACAAAAGAAATGCTAATGTAGCATTTTTTTCAATTTTTCCGAAAATTTCCGTTTTTTCCCGAAAAAACCCAGAAAAAAACCGGGTTTTTTCCTGAGCTTCAAAATTTCCGGAAATTTTACATCTCTAGTGCTGTGTATTGGTAGGCAAGGCAGGGGAGAGGAGGAAGTGGTGTGGAAGTAGGCAAGGTGAGCCTTGGGTGGAAAGGTTTTGCTGCAGTGAGCATGGAGGATAGGGAACCAGACCCGGGGACTAATGATCCCTCTAAGCTGTGGATTCTTGTGAGCAAAAAATTCTACTTTGTGAGCTGCCGGCATTAAAGTTCTGAGCAAGCGGTTTGGCTACTGCATAAATTAGTTTGCTCTGGAGCCATCCTTCCTAAGGTAAGACAGAAATGTGTGAGCCGGAGGCTAAAAACTCTGAGCCCGCTCACACTAACTCAACTTAGAGGGAACACTGCCTGGGATATGTTTTCATCAGCCTCAGGTTCCTACTGTCAAGGACCTTTTTGAGCCTGTGGGCGCTTTTGGAACTCTTTAACACGGTGGGTACAACTGCAAAATGGCCACCTCGGGAGGCGGAGCCAACTGCAATCATGCCATTAAGATCCTTGTGCTGCAGCAGCTGCCATAGCCGCTTCTAAAAAATCCGCACAGCCAATCAGATCTTCAGTAACCACTCAGAAGCTCTGTAGGACAACAGCCCCGTCTGATCCCGCCCACTTTCTAAAAACACTAAGCACTGGGGTGTCAAACTAAATATGCGGCCCGGGGGCCAGATCAGGCCCCCGGACGGGCTTCTATCAAGCCCACAGTGGAACTGGCTGTCTTCTGCTGATTCTTCCAGTTCTGCTGCTGCTGCTGCATCATCGTAGGTTTGCAGCTTACAGATACACCCCTGAACAGCATACTCAAGATTGCAACAGCACAGACATTTTGATGCAATAATTCAGAGCAAGAGGTGTCAGTTATCAGACACTGCTAAATGAACAAAGTATTGCAAGAGTGCTAATGTTTTAAGCATGTTTTTATTTTAAGTTTGTGTCCTTTATAAAGTTGATATCTCCGCTGCCTGGCATTACATTTTATGACACACATGGCCCGGCCCAGCAAGGTATGGTTTATGATAGATCCAGCCCTCATAACAAATGAGTTCGACACCCCTGACTTAGCGGGTGCCGGGCAAGGTGTTGGTGGGCACTGGATTGCGGACCCCGATCCAGACTCTCGCTAGCAGCGGGAGTTGAACTGGTGACCTGAAAAAATATGCACAATATTCGGTGAGAATGTTGGATGTTGCAAAGGCATCGTCCGCTTCGAAAATGACACTGTGAACGGAAGACGCTGAGACTGTTTTTCAGTGATAGCCTTCAGGTTACTGGTTCCGACTTGATAAGGCCATATTGGTGGAGCATATTGAGGAAGCTGGCGATCCCGTGGTTCTTCTTTTGGAACCGTTCAAGTGTTCCCCTTTTGGAACTGTTAGAGTAGATATCTCCTGGAAGCTCATTTCCTCTACGCTGTGAAGGAGAGACTGAGGAGAGACTGAGCACTTTGGGGTGTTTTGGACTTTGTGAGCCAGATACAGGACTTAACGTCAAATCATTTATGCCTCGATTATGAATTGTGTATTGCATGAATAATTTTGCTTAGGATTTGGAAATGGTATCAATGGTCTATTTATTTGTCTCTAAATGAATTATTTGTTAATTATTATTATGGATTGATTTTTTGGAATTGCTATCGACGCCACGCGCAGCCAGATCAGAATAAGCAGTACCAATGGCTCCACTGTGCCAATGTTCGTCATGTGGTATTTGACCTTCTACATGTACAGAATTATTTTTTATTTGTTTTCTTGAACTTGTATCCTGCCCCTCCCTGCAAGTGGGCTTGGGTCGGATTCCTTCAATGTTAAGACAATATACAATAACAATTAAGAGAGAGGAGAGATTGGATTTATACCCCACCCTTCACTTCCTAAAGGTGTCTCAGAGTGGCTTACAAACTCCTTTCCCTTCCCCTCCCCACGACAGACACCCTGTGAGGTAGGTGGGGCTGAGAGAGCTCTCTCGAGGACTTCCCTTGAGAGAACAGCTCTGAGAGAACTTGGGTCTGACCCAAGGTCACACCAGCAGCTGCATGTGGAGGAGTGGGGAATCAAACTCGGTTCTCCCAGATCAGAGTCCGCACACTTAACCACTACACCAAACTGGCTAATTAACTAATTTAAATCAACAAGATTAAAACAATACAATAATCGTAAAATACTGTGCAGGATCTATAATCAGATGCCTCAGTAGCTAAAATAGAATGATAGTGTAGTTCCCAGGTGGCTGTTCAAATCCAGGCCAACCAGGGGGGGGAGGGATGACACGCCCGCTGCTTCTAGAAGTCTGGCAGAAGAGCTCCGTCTTGCAGGCCCTGTGGAATTGTAATAAATGCTGCAGGGCTTTGATCTCATATGGGAGCTTATTCCACCAGGTAGGGGCCTGGGCCGAAATGGCCATGGCCCTAGTCGAGGCAAGTCAGACGTCCAAAAAGTGTTGATTTGTAGATCTCAGTGCTCTACGAGGCTCATTTGGGGAGAGGCGGTCCCGAAGGTATGCTGGCCCCTGTGCTGGACAGTAGTAATGCATTGTGAACGTTGTGGGGGGTTCATTCCCGGACCTCTGGCGAGCATGTGTGGGAAATCAACTGCATTGAATCCATAACAAAGGATCGTGTGCGTTCTCAGGACACAAGCTTTGATTCCGATATTCTCTGGCTTTGAAGCCGCTTCTGCAGTTAACAGTGTGTTCTGCAGTTATCCACAATGAATGCCAGTCCTTAAATATTTAAAGTTGCCTTTAACATACCAATTTATTTGCTTGTCCTGAAGCCGTTGTTGAGCCTCTGTCCATGGTGCAGCTGGGGAATGTGACTCATTTACCTCTTCTTAGTCACATTATTTTCTTGATTTTTTCCCCCCCAGGCTTGCGGGGATGACGTAAAGCGGACGATTTCCACTCCGGACCAACATAATAGAAATGCAGCAGAATCCAATGCCGACTTAACGGCTCAGCATGAGAATCCGGCCAGCGGCCAGGCTGCACCTCCCAGATCTCCGGTTCAACACCAGACGCCTCTCCGAGAGGTGTCCGAGAAGGAAGTGCAGAGCTCCACGCCCATATCCTCAAGTTCTGGTGCAGGTAATTTGGTACGGAACTGGGACGGTTTCCAGCCACGTCCCGTCTGTGTGAAAAACGGCTATTTTGGAAACATGAGTCGATCAGTTGACAGCGGCGTATCTCCGGCCCCAGAACTGGCTGTCTCTTCTGCCCCTACGGCTCCTGGAAATCAGCCCGAGGAGAATTCCTATTTGTCTTCTGACAGCTCCCCGTTGACTCCGAGAGGTCAAGATGGGGCACGGGCTGAAGAACAGAAGATCCCACCCTTGTGGGGATCCCGCCAACAAGAAGATCTGTTAGATAATCCAGCCGACAAACCCTTCCTTCAGTTGCAACTTGATGAGGAGCAGAAAGGTGCTCAGGGTCAGCAGGACAGTACCGGTAACGTCAATGCTGCTCCCTTGCTCCAGCAGGAAGGTGATAGACACAGCTGGCAGGTTAACAGCAGGAGAGTGGATTTTAGGGTTATGTCCAACGATGCTATCCCGACAGGCAGTATACCTGCAAATTTGCAGAGAAGAGGCAAGACTCTCACGCCTTCTATTCCCAGTGAAACAGCAACGGCCAACTGCTCTGAGCAAGACTCTTCATCAGTGTGTTTAGAAGAAGACTCTCTTGATCACAGTCAGTGTTGTGAAGCTACTCCTGGTGGTAGTCAGTTCTCTGAAGGCAGTCTGACCGTTTCCAAGGGAAATACTGTTGACCTAGAAACAAGGGGTAAGAACCCTCTGGTAGACATTTGGTTAAAGGCCCAACTTCCTTAGGGAGGGGATGAAGCCAAGATAACTCCATGAAAAACCTGGATGGCATCATCTGCTAGGGCCATGTCTAAAGGGACTCTTTCCGATTCTCAGGGCCATTTCTCCCATAATGCGCCAGCCTGTTTCAGGGCTTGTTTCAGATTCCCATTTCACTGAGAAACAGTAGGACCTGTGTTGAGGCCCCGATTCTGAGGGCAGGGTGCTGCAGTGAAGCCATCTGAGGCCATTACTTCACGTTGGGGGGGGGGGCGGACCCTCCATGGCTTGTCTCCCTTTCTCAGCCAGCTCCTCACCCACTTATCTGTCGACTTCACCGGAGACCCAACGAGCAAGTCCACCTAGCAGCCATATAGCACATTAAAGACACACTAATGCATTTATTTATTGGAAAACTTGGTGTGCCACTATTCTGCCTGACTTCAGACCCTCACAGCATAAAGACAACTTTCACAACACAAATTATATATAGATATTAAATATACTAATATATATTAATTATAAATATATAAACATTTTAAGATGTTTAAGACAAGATGTTTAAGACCAATAGACATGGACACATAAATGAGGAGGGCCGTTAAAAGTTAGTAAGGGAATGCCAGAAGAGGAAAGTCTTCACCCCCTGTTGGCAGACAGTGATCGAGGGGGACAGATGAAATGTCCCTGGGGAGAGAGTTTTTGGGTTCCAGGACCGAGATAGGCTGTTTATGAGTGGCCACAAGGGGTGTACATTCAGCTATATCCTATCCAAAAAATATCAGTATTTTCCATCTATTCTTTCAACCAGATAAAGATTTGGGTATTTTTTTTGGCTATCCAAAATGGCCAAGACTCCAAAAATCTCAAAAGTATTTGGGATATTTGGGTACTGCTGGATAGTCGAAGACCGGGTTCCCATGAGCCGCTGCTCCATCCTCTTCCCTTTGCCCCGATCGTATGTGTCAATTTCCCACTATTTGCTGTGCAGCCGCATTTTGCCCCGCAGCTTTGCCCAGTTTCCCCCGCGTCTACTCGATCCTCAAAAAAACAGGATCGAGTAGATGCGGAGGAAATCGGGCGAAGCTGTGGGGCTGCACAGCAAATAGTGGGAAATCGACACATGCAATCGGGGCAAAGGGAAGAGCGAGGGCGGAGCAGCGGTTTGTGGGAAATCGGTCTAAGATAAAGCTAAAGAATGAATTCTGCACCAGCCCACAATAGAGCCCCCCAGCGCCTTCCCTGGCCTGTCCAAGTGCCGGCTTGCCCACGCCGCCCGCAGCTTCAAGGCACCCGGGCAAGTCAAGGGAAGGCATGGCGTGTGGCCTAATATGCCAATAAACTGTGCTGTCAGGGGTGTGGCCTAATATGCTAATTAGTTTCTGCTGTTGGGTGTGGCCTATTATGTTAATGAGTTCCTGCTGGGCTTTTTCTACAAAAAAAAGCCCTGATTAACATGGCTACCCATCTTGATTTATTTACATTACACGTGTATTGTTTGTGTGCAGGACCCTTTGTTCCAGAAACTCCCCGAACAGCTTCCTCCCTTGGCCAGTCTCTGCCGAAGAGTAGTCCGCTTCCCCAGAGGTCGTCGAGGACGGAGCACTTTGGTCAAGTTCCCAGCGCTGTTCCTGTGGCCCGGTTTCCGTCTCCGCCTTCAGACTTCAGCGGTTCTTCCTCCACCGACGTGATCCCCCCCAGCTCTCCCGCAGCCATCTCAGTCACTCTGAGCGACATGTATCTCGAGGAACTTAACCCCCCCGTTCAGGAGAGAAATCTGCGGGGGACTGGTCTGTGTGCCACCTCTGAGAAGGTAAGTTGCCGTGTGCCGGCAAGTCACAGCTGACGTACGGTACCCTGTGGGGTTTTCAAGGCAAAAAGCGAACAGAGGTGGTTTGCCATTGCCTGCCTCTGCATAGCGACCTCGGTCTCCTATCCGAGGACTAACGGTGACTAGAGATGTACAATTTCTGGAAATTTTGAAGCTCGGGGAAACAACGGAAATTTTCGGGGAAATTGGGGAAAAAATGCTACATTAGCACTTTTTTCTTTCTTTTCCAGATTGAAAGTCATTCTGTTACTTTAGGAACATAAAATATGACTATGAACATTGTTACTTGGCATGAAATGATCACAACTAGCCTATTAAAAATATAGTGTATCCAAACAATTATTACAAACAGAAATTACCCACCCACATGCAAAAACAAAACGGAAACCTTTTTCTTTTCTTGTGACAATAGCACCTCCTAAAGGAAGAAATGCATTTTGTTCTTGCATTGGAGAGTTCCGTTTGTAACCTAGGACTTGCTTGTCCTCAGTGCACAGAAATTAGATCAATCTGATACCATACGGATTTTTTAGAAATGATTTGGAAAATATTTGAACACCTTGTCTTAAAATAGTTTATTCATCATGTTAAAATAAAACGTTCCATAATCAATTTTTTCCTTTTCTTTTCTCAATTTTTCCGGTTTTTTCCCCTGGCCTTCACAACTCTAATGGTGACCAACCCTGCTTAGCTCCCAAGATCTGATGAGATTTGCCTTGGCTGAGCCACCTCTAGGTCAGGGTAGGAGTCAAACAGAGGTGGTTTGCCATAAGAACATAAGAGAAGCCAATGTTCGATCAGGCCAGTGGCCCATCCAGTCCAACACTCTATGTCACACAGTGGCCAGAAATACCAGGTGCCATCAGGAGGTCCACCAGTGGGGCCAGGACATTAGAAGCCCTCCCACTGTTGACCCCCCCCCCCAAGCACCAAGAAGACAGAGCATCCCTTGCCCCAGAGCCCCTATCTATACCTTGTGGCTAATAGCCACTGATGGACCTCTCCTCCATAGATCTAATTCCCTTTTGAGGCCGTCCATGCTTGTAGCCACCGCCATCTCCTGTGGCAGTGAATTCCAGGTGTTCATCACTCTTTGGGTGAAGAAGGACTTCCTTTTATCCGTTCCAACCCGACCTCTCAGCAATTTCATGGAGTGCCCACGAGTTCTTGTATGGTGAGAAAGGGAGAAAAGGACCTCTACCCTCTGCCATAGCCTTCCTTGCACTTCCTTGGTGGTCTCCCATCCAAGTACTTACCAAAGTTGTGCTAGTCTTGGCTGTCCAGGTCACCTCTACGAGTCTAGAGATTGTGGCGTTTCAGAAGTTAGACAGTAGGCAGGAAAAATACCTGAAACGTTGTGAAAATTAAAAACCGTGGGATATCATTTAATGCACAGTGTTTAGTTTATGCAACACACCCAAGTACAACAGTCTTGTATTTCTGCAAAGTGGTTTCTCTGTGTGTGTGTGTGTGTGTGATTACAAAATACACCAATAGTAGGGATTGAACTGGGGTTCTGTGTGAGGGAGGGGTTGTTTTTGCCTGCTTTGTAAATAGAAAAATCCCAAGTTTTAAGAATAAGAATCGGCGACTGGGGCAGGCAGGGTGGCCAGCCTCCAGGTGGGGTCCTGGAGAGCTAGTATTACAAATGATCTCCAGACCACCGCGATCAGTTCCTTTGGAGGAAAATGGCAGCCTTAGCAGGTGGACTCTGGCATTATGCCCTGCCGAAGTCTCTTCCCCCTAAACTTTGCCCTCCTCCGGGCTCCGCACCCTGAAAGCCCTGACCTGGATAGACCAGGCTAGCCTGATCCTGTCAGATCTCGGAAGCTAAGCGGGGTCAACCCTGGCTAGTATTTGGAAGGGTGATCCCTCCAAGGAATACCAGGGGCGCGACGCAGAGGCAGGCAATGAGGAACCACCTCATTGAGCATATGGAGCAGAGGTCTATCAGTGGATATTAGCCACAAGGTATAGATAGGGGCTCTGGGGCAAGTGATGCTCTGTCTTCTTGGTGCTTGGGGGGGGGGGTCATGTCCTGGCCCCACTGGTGGCACTGGTATTTCTGGCCACTGTGTGACACAGAGTGTTGGACTGGATGGGCCTTTGGCCTGATCCAACATTGGCGTCTCTTATGTTCTTATGTTCACCTCTGAAAACAAGTCTAGCTCGCCACCTAGTGGTGTATAATGCTAAAAAAGAGCTAGAACTTTGGCTGCCAGACAATCTTAGGATCTCCTGGCTATACTACACGCACTGCCATACGATAATTCTTTAACAACAACCCCCAAAACAAAAATCTCCAGATATTTTCTAACCCAGAGTTAGCGACCTGACTTGGAAGCAAAAGACCTGGGGCTTAAACATCCCCGTAAAATAGTGCAGCGTTTACATTCTTCAGGACGGGATCTTCTCGCAGTCCTCGTTCTCTAGGATATGGGGCTGGACCCGGATTTCCCAGGGGGATACACATTTTCGGCTCAGGGAGGGCATGCTGCTCAGTGAACAGCACTTCCCTGCTTTCCTCTCTCCCGTTGGAGCCCCCTGACCTCCTTGCAAATGTTTTGCTGAGGGTGGGCAGGGGACCCTCAGGAGTGACTCTCGGGCACATTGGGGGTCTGCATCGGGAAGTTGGCTCAACTTCATGTTCGTTGCATCGATGACACTGTCTAACCATCTCATCCTTTGCCGCCCCCTTCTTCTTTTATCTTCAGTCTTTCCCAGCATCAGGGTCTTCTTCTCAAGTGAGTGCTCCCTTCTCATTGGGTGGCCAAAGTATTTGAGCTTCAGTTTCATTATCTGGCCTTCCAGGGAACAGTCAGGGTTGGTTTCTTTGAGGATGGACTGATTTGACCTTCAATCTTTCCCAGCATCAGGGTCTTCTTCTCCAGTGAGTGCTCCCTTCTCATTGGGTGGCCAAAGTATTTGAGCTTCAGTTTCATTATCTGGCCTTCCAGGGAACAGTCAGGGTTGGTTTCTTTGAGGATTGACTGATTTGACCTTCAATCTTTCCCAGCATCAGGGTCTTCTCCAGTGAGTGCTCCCTTCTCATTGGGTGGCCAAAGTATTTGAGCTTCAGTTTCATTATCTGGCCTTCCAGGGAACAGTCAGGGTTGATTTCTTTTAGGATTGACTGATTTGATCTCCTTGCAGTCCAAGGGACTCTCAAGAGTCTTCTCCAGCACCATAGCTAATCGTTCTAGCTCCTGTACCCGAAATAATTTTGCAAAAGGGAGAATCGGAATGTTTTACTTTTTTCTCTGTCGGAGCACTGTAGATGACAGGTGCAGCATCAGCTTCCATTCAGCTGTGGAAAGCATGGGAGTCATGCTGTGAATAGATTCCAAAGGCCCACATCTGGGACACAGCAACAGTTTGAAGTTTCCATTTGTAGCTGGCTCAGCTGAGAATCTGTGCAGGGTCCCATTAGCAGAAAACTTGGTCTGGAGCCGGTCCAGAAAGCGTTACAACCCAGACCTCTCCTGTTGCTGCCCCAGTTGTATAGAATGATCGCCTGGAAGTTCCCTGGGGTCTCTTGGTGAGGCCGTCAGGCAGAACTATTTAATTCAAAGAGCTTATGGGGCAGTTGCCGCGGGCTCTGGTTTATTCGTTTCGACTGCCCGTTAATTTCTTGTTCAAATGATTTTAGTAGACTCCTTCTTTTTTGTATTCGTGTTACCTCGAATCCTGACGACGTCAGGAGAAAGGCAGACTATATCTAAACACTGTAAATAAAACACATTATCTTCAATTTCACTGGGGAGGCTGCAAGACTGGGTCCTCTTGTTGAAAAGGGGGAAGCCAAAACAGTTGTACATGTTTTATTAGTTATTAGTTATTATTATTTTTACGAAATTAATTAAAAAAGTTATTTAAAAAAGAAAAGAAAAGGGGGAAGCCACAGAGGTACAAAGTAGGGAGCTCTCAGACTGTTGAATCCAGTCTGGGATTTGGGCCCGCTCTGGTCGCTGAAATCCTGCAATTGTAGATGCTGGGAATAGTGGCTGCAGACCATGAAAACGTAAACGCTGCCTTACACTGGATGAAACCATTTGTCTAATCAAGGGCAATGCTGAGTACGCCAGCTGGCAGCCGCTCTCCAGGGTCTCAGGCAAGAGGTCTTTCTTTTTAATGGAGATGCCAGGGATTGAACCTGGGACCAGCGTTCCCTCTAAGCTGAGTTAGTGTGATCTAAAAAGGTAAAGGTTCCCTTGCTCGAAAGCCAGTCGAATCCGACTCTAGGGTTGCGGTGCTCATCTCCGTTTCCAAGCCAAAGAGCCAGCGCTGTCCGAAGACGTTTCCGTGGTCATGTGGCCGGCATGACTAAACACCAAGGCGCACGGAACACTGTTGCCTTCCCACCAAAGTGGTCCCTATTTATCTACTTGCAATTTCTTGCTTTCGAACTGCTAGGTTGGCAGGAGCTGGAACTAGAGACGGGAGCTCACTCCGTCATGCGGCACACTCGGGTCTCGAACTGCTGAACTACCGACCTTCCACAGCCTGCAGTTCAGCGTCTTAACCGCTTGAGCCACCGCAGCTCCTTAGTGTGATCTAGCTCTCAGTTTTTTAGCCCCTGGCTCACAGATTTTTGTCTTAGCCCAGGAAGGAGGGGCTCCAGAGCAAAGTAATTTACTCAGCAGCCCAATCGCTCGCTCACAACTTTAATGCCGGTAGCTCACAAAGTAGAATTTTTACTCACAAGACTCCACAGCTTTTTTTTGTTTTAATTTTTAAGGTTTATTTAAGTTTGAGTGCAAACAATTGAATATCAACAGCTAAGCAACATACAATGCAGAATTGTAACAAAATAACAAGACAGATAAGATTACATACGCTTCAGAACAGTTGATCGTACAGTTATGGTGGATAATTGGAATTTTGCTTCAGCATAACCCGTGGTAGGTGATTTATTATAAGGATGTATCACTTTACTTGAGAGTTGCCTGTGAGTACTGTATACTGGCATGAACATAAACACGAGCATGAACATCCGGGGTCAGTTAATATGCTGTTTTGTCAAAAACTCAGGGGTATTGATTAGTTAAAAGTGAAGCCAACATGTAAAACTTGGATTTTTTGGCAGGAGATCATTTTCTTATCTCTTCTTTTTTAAACTGTAAATTTATTTTTATTATTATTATAAGAAAAGTATTAGAATTAGCACAAATGGATAATTTAAGTTTAATACTTTAAGAGAAAGACCCAAAAATACAGAATAAAAGATGGTTAAGGGTTTACAATTGGATTAAACATGTAAAAATGTAATATGAAAGGAGATAATGGTGTGATATACGACATGTACCTCGAACCAAAGGCTCTAATTATATATGTAATCAAGATAAAAGTTTGTAAGTATAATGAAAAATATGACAAATAAACAGTTGAAAAAAAGAAAGAAAAGTACATATACAAATAACACATATTTTGTTTTACATTACTCAGTTTGGTGTAGTGGTTGGTGGGGGGCTCCTCAGCCAGTTTTGTGTAGTGGTTAAGTGCGCGGACTCTAATCTGGGAGAACCGGGTTTGAGTCCCCGCTCCTCCACTTGCACCTGCTGGATGACCTTGGGTAAGCCATGGTTCTGGCACAGCTGTTCTTGAAAAAAGAGTAGTTTCTGTCAGAGCTCTCTCAGCCCCACCTACCTCACAGGGTGTCTGTTGTGGGGAGGGGAAGGGAAAGGAGTTTGTAAGCCGCTCTGAGACACCATTGGGTAGTGAAGGGTGGGGTATAAATCCAATCTCCTCCTCCTTCTCTCCTCAGTACAGTACTACTTTTGGTTATTCAGTGATAATATGTTCCCCTCGGTATATTGGTATTGATAATTGGTGTAATTGTTATTCTGAGTGAGGAGATCATTTTCTGTCATGAATTGTAAGTAAGGGAACCAAGTGTTTACGAATCTGGAGCGTGTTGTGCCAGATGTTGCTTGAGAGGTGTCTAGTACAGTTTTGTCCATGATGAAAAATTCCCCACTGCTTAGAGGAAGCATCGCCTTGGACCTTCTCCATTCCAAGCAGATGTTCTTCCACTGAGTCACGGTCCCTCCCTCTTCCATCGCAGAGCTGTGGGTGCACCCGTGGCCCAGGAAAATCTTTGCAGGATAAATTGATACCGAGGGGGAATTTTGAAATGCCGGTCTCGTGGAGGAGGACAGGAGAGATAAGAATAGGAATGAAGAGACGGGTTTCTCTTACCTGTTTGGGGGCGGGAAATGAATGAATGTGTTTTCTTCCTGCAGGTGACGGGGGATGTTCCTCCGAGAGCAAATGTAGTCTGGCCCTCCTATGCCGCGGATATTCCTGCAAATTCAAGAGAGAATAGAAATAATGCCACCGGCCCTTCCAGGGGCGCTCAGCTCTTCCACAGTAACCGTGAAGAGGAAGACGTCTCCCTGTTGAAGCCTGGTGCTCTGCGTTCAGAGGAAATCACAGGGGGACCTCTCGACCAGCATTCAAGCGACCGCAGTGCAGAATATTCGGGAACGTCGGATCGGCTTCGTTACAGCGACGGATCGTCGGAAGTAAGCGACCCCTTGATGCTGAGCAATTCCACTCAGGGTAGTCGCACCGAATATTCCGAAAGAAATACGCCGATGGGAACCAACAGAGCTTCTCTTCGCCGCCGCAATGACAACCACTCCGATGGGGGCTCCGTCAGAACCCACACGGTTCGCGTAGAGGAGCCCCCCAGCGTCGATCTCACCGGAGCACCTGAGATTACTCGTCCGGCTCACAGGCACACTAGCCAGCCTCCAGGTGACTTTTCGGACTCTGCTGCTGGGGATCAGCTGACCGAAAATGGCAGCTCCTGCTCTGTTCGGAGTGATGGTCCACGAAATTCCCGTCCGAACGAGAGTGTCACTGATGCAGGGTCATGGCACATGAGTGATTCTATGCGGCTTGCAGTTGGGTTCACCCTCGCTTCTCTGGCGGTCGTGGCTTTTGTGTTGTATAAACAGCTGAAGAAATAGGAGCTGGTGGGTGAGGGATGGAGGCGGCTAGAGAATGCGGCTTCTGGCCCAGCTGAGAGAGAGAAATCGAGGCTCAGTCTGGCGTGCGCTATAAAATCTTACCTTCCTGGCCAGTGCAAAGCTTTGCGGAGGGGACAATAACCAAACAGTGCTTGTTTCCTTGAATACACTTCCTCCAAAGACAGGGGGTGGTTCCGACACCTTGCCCGTTGCCTTTCTGCTTAGATCCACCCTTGAAGATCGTGTCAAGACTCCTGATTGTGACAGTGGTATTTGATACCTGATAGGTTGCGCCACGTTTGATCAAATCTTTCAGTAGACGAGTTTTTTTGCAGATAGTGGCCCTTTTTCTCTCGTGGAAGGTGCCACCATTCAGGGAACGGGTCCGTGGGATCCAACCCAACGTGTTGCTTCTGGGCAAATTGCACAGAAATCACTTTTGCCATTCGTGGCGGAGCTTGACTGCCTTCCGTGGTAAATTCAGAGACACGATCTGATTTTCAAATGCTGGGTAGGCTAGCTTCATAGAGCCACTGGGTTTCTCGGCGAGTGGAAATGCTGTACTGGACAAATTTAGACTCCAGCGGCACCTTTAAGACCAACAAAAGTCTATTCAATTCCTTGAATATTTGTTGGTCTCAAAGGTGCCACTGGACTCTAAATGTGTTCTACTGCTTCAGAGCAACACAGCTGCCCACTTGAACTATACTGGACAAAGACACACGTTCGGGCTGATCTACCAACTTACCTAAGTTTCTGCTGATCTGCAATATAAGTTTCGTGCCATATCTCGTGTGAGTGATTAGGGAGCTTGCTCTTTTTTGAAATCTCTTTCCAGTGATGATCTGGCCCAGTAGAATCCTAGCTGCCCAGTTGCCTTGGAGGGCTTGGAAATGTGGGGGCCCGCCTCATCAATTTTAGCATTTTCTTTTTTTAATTATATAAAAAAGGACAAAATAATGCCGGTGTCCTAGAGATGTCGTTTATTGTTGTAGCCGTAGACCGTTACATCCCAGCATGTATACCAACATATAACAGTATGTCACAACAGAAGGATTAAAACATTTTTTGCATAACAGGATAAAAACTTTTTAAAAGTTTAAAACTCAGCTGGTAAGAAATGAATGCAACAAAAAGCCCCATAAGATAACCTGGAATTACAATTCAGCTTGAATTTAGCAGGTACTAATTCCTTCCTTATATTTACTGATAAAAAGGTGAAAGTAGCCGCTTCTGGAGTAACAAAGGGGATAGCATCAGGCAATTAAAAACCGGTACATTCCTCATCTGAGACAGAAACATTTACTAGAAGTCGATTCAGCAGTTTGTTTTGAATGGGCCCATAGAAGGAAGAGTGCAGAACGTAGCGTACAATATCTTCCACCTGATTAAGACCACAAGGGCCAGAGGCGTTGTTCCCCGGGTATTTTTTGAAATCTGCCCTGTGAATACTCAGATGGCATAGTTTGAAAAGGTGCACTAGTAAACGCCTTTCTTAATGTGACATTAGAAAAGTCAGCTAAGTAGTAAGAGAAGAATTTGCTTTTCTTAATCCGAGGATACCATCAAGAAAATGTAGATTGTCGGGCCAACCGGTATGACGAAGGGCATCTTTTCCAAAAAGCCAATTACGAATTTTGCTTGAGTCCCAGTCTACAGTGTTCCCTCTAAGCTGAGTTAGTGTGAGCTAGCTCATAGTTTTTTAGCCTCCGGCTCACACATTTTTGTCTTGGCTCAGAAAGGAGGGCTCCAGAACAAACTAATTGATGCAGCAGCCAAATCGCTCGCTCACAAATTTAATGCCAGCAGCTCACAAAGTAGAATTTTTGCTCATGAGACTCCACAGCTTAAAGGGAACATTGGCCCAGAGCTTTACAGCCTCTAAAGACAGCGAGGAGTATAACTGCGGAATAGGGGACAGCAAACTGGAGCACCGCTTCCCTTCCTTGTAGTACCAAAAACAATATTTTACCAAATGGTCTTTGGAAATACTGTCAAGTTTCTTATAATATTTAAATAATTTCAGGTAGACTCTTGCTGTAATAGAGGGTCGTCCAAACAACTAATCTTAAGCGTGCAGCAGGAGTTCCCTGAGGGAGACCCACGATTTTCCTTTAAAAGTTGGTCTGAATTATTTCTGGCCTGGTCAAGTATTTTCTCGTTCCACCCTCATATTTCAGCCCCACACAAAAGCTAAATTGACAACTTTGCCCTGGAATACTTTAAAGGGCTCGGGCTATCAGCTGGCCACTCTAATCTGGGAGAACTGGGTTTGGTTCCCCACTCCTCCACTCGCAGCTGCTGGATGACCTTGGGCAAGCCATAGTTCTCTCAGAGCTGTTCTCAAGAGCAGTCCTCGAAAGAGCTCTCTCAGCCCCACCTACCTCCCAGGGTGTCTCTAGTGGGGAGGGGAAGGGAGATTGTAAGCCGCTCTGAGACTCCAAGTGAAGGGCGGGGTATAAAACCAATATCATCATCATCTTTTAAAAAACTGAACTTTACTCTGTTTGCCATTTTGTGGGTTCACATTGGGCAGAAAAACTGCATACTAATGTTTAACAGATATAGTACCCTGGATGCCAGCTGCAACGTGAGGCGGATACAAAAGGCAGGGGTAGGGAAGGAAACTTTGGGTCATTCTTCGCAGAGGGGGAGGGGCCGTAGTGCAGGGGTAGAGCATCTGCTTAGCGTGCCGAAGGTCCCGGGTTCAGTCCCCGGCATCTCCAGCTAAAAGGACCAGGCAGGAGGTGATGGGAAAGACCTCCGCCTGAGACTCTGGAGAGCTGTAATGAGGGGTGTGTGGCTCAGTGGAAGAGCCTCTGCCTGGCACGCAGAAGGTCCTGGGTTTAGTCCCCGGCATCTCCAGCTAAAAGGACCAGGCAGGAGGTGATAGGAAAAGACCTCTCTGCCTGAGACCCTGGAGAGCTGTAAAGAGGGGCTGTGGCTCAGTGGTAGAGCCTCTGCTTGGCATGCAGACGGTCCCGGGTTCAGTCCCCGGCATCTCCAGCTAAAAGGACCAGGCAGGAGGTGACGGGAAAGACCTCCGCCTGAGACCCTGGAGAGCTGTAATGAGGGGCCGTGGCTCAGTGGAAGAGCCTCTGCCTGTCACGCAGACGGTCCCGGATTCAGTCCCCGGCATCTCCAGCTAAAAGGACCAGGCAGGAGGTGACGTGAAAGACCTCCGCCTGAGACCCTGAAGAGCCGCTGCCAGTCTGAGTAGACAAGACTGAACTCGATGGCCAGGGGTCTGATTCTACACCAAACTGGTATAAAACAGTATGTATGCATGAAACAAGTGAGAAGTTTGCCTGTTGGAGTCGCATTAGATTTGAGTCTGGTGGCACCACGGCAACCCACAAGATTTTCAGGGTGTGAGCTTTCAAGGGTCGAGAGAGACCGTATCTGACTAATGGAGCTTTTGACTCTGAAAAACGTGTACCCTGATATTGGTCTTTGCCAGTGTGGTGTAGTGGTTAAGAGTGGCGGACAGTGTTCCCTCTAAGCTGAGTTAGTGTGAGCTAGCTCACAGAATTTTAGCCTCCACAGATTTTTGTCTTAGCTCAGGGAGGATGGCCCCAGAGCAAGCTAATTTATGCAGGAGCCAAATCGCTCACTCACAACTTTAATGCCAGCAGCTCACAAAGTAGAAATTTTGCTCACAAGACTCCGCAGCTTAGAGGGAACATTGGACTGGCGGACTCTAATCTGGAGAACTGGGGTTGATTCCCCATTCCACTTCCACATGAAGCCTGCTGGTGTGACCTTGGGTCAGTCACAAGTTCTCTCAGAGCTGTTCTCTCAGCCCCACCTACCTCACGGGGTGTCTGGTGGGGAAGGGAAGGCGATTGTAGGACACTCCCAAGACTCCTTCAGATAGTGAAGAGCGGGGTATAAAGCCAACTCTTCTTCTCTAAGGTGCTACTGGATTCAAATCTAGCTGTTCCTACTGCAGACTGACCAACATTGCTACCCCCTGAGACTGTTTCAGTCAGTATTTCTTCTGGGAAGTTCAGTTAGTAGATTATCTGGTTTTGTTGCTGACTCATTCTACTGCAGAAACCGGTTCATTAAGAAACAGCAGGATTGGTGCCAAGAGAGTAGAAGAAGAGATTGGATTTATACCCCACCCTTCACTACCCAAAGGAGTCTCAGAGCGGCTTACAAACTCCTTTCCCTTCCCCTCCCCACAACAGACGCCCTGTGAGGTAGGTGAGGCTGAGAGAACTCTGACAGAAACTGCTCTTTTTCAAGAACAGCTGTGCCAGAACTATGGCTTGCCCAAGGTCATCCAGCAGGTGCAAGTGGAGGAGTGGGGAATCAAACCCGGTTCTCCCAGATTAGAGTTCGCGCACTTAAACACGACACCAAACTGGCTCTCAAAGAAACGAGTTTTTAGTTCTGCTCTCTTCTGCTCTCAGTGTCATAGACTTTTAAAAGCCAATCTTTGCTTAAGTCAGGGTTGGGTGTAATTAAAATGGAAAGATTAAGAATATTACAACTGATGAAAACAGAACCCAGCAAACCTGAAGGCCTACCACTGTGGTGAAGCAATAATCTATATAAGTAGGTCAGTGATGGAGGTGGGGGAGAGACATCTATCAGTTTTGACAAAGTTGTCTTCCCGAATGTCCATTTCCAGTCTCTCTTGCTGCCAGACTGCTTGTTTGGTGTAGTGGTCAAGTGCGCGGACTCTAATCTGGGAGAACCGAGTTTCATTCCCCACTCCTCCACTTGCACCTGGCTGGATGACCTTGGGCAAGCCGTAGCTCTGATAAGAGCTGTTCTTGAAAAAGAGCCATTTCTGTCAGAGCTCTCTCAGCCTCACCTACCTCACAGGGTGTCTGTTGTGGGGAGGGGAAGGGAAAGGAGTTTGTAAGCCGCTCTGAGACACCTTTGGGTAGTGAAGGGCGGGGTATAAATCCAATCTCCTTTTGACAAAATGAACTGAAAATAAGCCACGGAAACCAGTTTTTAGTGCTTCTTTCATCTTCTGTTCTTAGTGTCTTAGACTGTAAAAGCTAACCTTTGCATAAGTCAGGGCTAGGTGTAATTAAAAACGATTTACACTAGGTTAAGCGGAATGTTACCACTGATGAGTAAATGCGGACAGACATTTGGAAATCGAGTATATGAAATTCAGGATGGACAGAAGGAAATATTTCTTTACGCAGCAAGTGATTAAAATGTGGAATTTAACCAGTCATAAAACGCCCTCCATTGTCCCATAAATTCTTCTTCCATTTCTCCTTTTAATATACTTCTCAATCTGTCCATTTCAGCAGATTCCATAATCTTCGTTATCAACTCATGAAGTGTTGGAATTTTTGGTATCCTCCATGTTGTTGCAAATAAAATTGTGGCTGCTGTTACAACATGTAAAATAAAGTATCTATGGTTCTTGGGAAGGCCTCGGCCTCTCTGCCCTGTTGTTGGCCCTCCAGAGGAACTGGTTGGCCCCTGTGTGAGACAGGATGCCGGACTAGATGGACCACTGGTTTGATCCAGCAGCGTTCGTCCTATATTCTTATAGTCCCTGGCATAAAGATGAATGTAAGCTTTATCTCCTTTTTTTTTTTAATTGGCAACTAGGAAGGATACAAGAACAGACAGAAACTTTAAAAGTGATAACCCTATTAATGCAAATATACACGGGGCATTGTTACTTCCGATTCCCTCCAAATTTTGCTGCCTTTATATAGCTGTGCTGTTGCAATCTAGAGTAATCTCACAGGGACTCAAAGTTGATTACACAGATTGAGTCAATACAGTCAACAAAATGTTACATTCAGTAGCGAACACATTGGGATTTTAGAAGTCTGGAATGACTAGAAAGTACGGAAGACTGGCATAAGTCACGACACATTAGGTCATAGGTGTCAAACATGCAGCCCGGGGGTCGGATCAGGCCCCTGGAGGGCTTCTCTCAGGCCCGCAGTGTAACTGGCTGTCTTCTGCTTCTCCTTCCAGTTCTGCTGCTGCTGCTGCATCATCGTAGGTTTGCAGCTTACAGATACACACCTGAACTGCACACTCTAGATTGCAACAGCACAGACATTTTGATGCAATAATTCAGAGCAAGAGGTGTCAGTTATCAGACTCTGTTGAATAAGCAAAATATTGCAAGAGTGCTAATGTTTTGAGCATGCTCTTATTTTAAGTAAAAAAAAAACCCTTTGTGTTTGTGTCCTTTATAAAGTTTATATATCCGCTACCTGGCATTACATTTTATGGGCTTAAAGTAGATGGTAACAGCCAAGAAGTACTTTAAAAAAGGATCCCAATAAAGGAAAACTCTATCCTGACTGCGCTCAATTAATGCCTCTTACAGCATTTTGCCTTGTGTAGAATCATCAGGAACTTCCTTTCAGTAATGTTCTGACATATCGGAGAAAGTCATGCATTTCTTGGAATGTACCAATTGAAAAACTGACCAGAGATGTAACATGTTCTTCATTTTCCTTCATCTGTTCAGAAGAAGATATCTTTCGAAACGGTTGAACATTCCAGAGATCATCTTTAACAACCTATAACAATAATAACTGTTGAATACCTTTATATATTTTGTACTTACCTTATGTGTTTTGTACTTCATGAATAACATTTGGAGGTTGGCAAACATGACCACGGAAACGTCTTCGGACAGTGCTGGCTCTTCGGCTTGGAAACGGAGATGAGCACCGCAACCCTAGAGTCGGATTCGACTGGCTTTCGAGCGAGGGAACCTTTACCTTTTACTAAGGATATAGTGGGGGGAAGTTTGAGGTCCATTAGGTCATAAATGGAGAGGGAATAGGAGGCTGATGTCCAGGGGAAGCAGGTCGCCAATTGTTAAAGGAACTGTCGTGGTTGTCCTCCAATGAGAATGTTAAGTGTAGGCTTGCCAACCTCCAGGTTGCACCTGGAGATCTGCAAATATAACTGTTCTCCAGGCTGCAGTGACCAGATCCCCTGTTGAAAATGTCTGTTTTGGAGGGCGAGCGCTACTGCATTACACCCTGCTGTGGTCCCTTCCAGTGTTCCCTCTAAGCTGAGTTGGTGTGAGCTAGCTCACAGTTTTTTAGCCTCCGGCTCACACATTTCTGTCTCAGCTCAGGAAGGAGGGGCTCCAGAGCCGACTGATTTATGCAGTAGCCAAATCGCTCGCTCACAACTTTAATGCCGGTAATGCCAGTAGCTCACAAAGCAGAATTTTTGCTCACAAGACTCCACATCTTAGAGGGAACATTGGTCCCTTCCCGTCTCCACCCCTCCAAATTTCACGTGTTGCCCAACTCAGAGCTGGCGGCCCAAGTTAAGTGGCTGTTAAATGTACAGGCCCGGCTGGATTCCCCATCACCATCACCACCCAAATTCCGCCACCCCAATGAAAAGTGTCCATGAATGCATCCACAGGGATTGCAGTCAGCTAACCCATGAGATCTGGAGACGCCAAAGCGCCCTATAAATGCTACGCAGCGCTGCTGTTGTTTTGACACCTGCATCTGTAAATACTATGCAAATTGCTCGCGTGCCATCCCCCACCAATGCTAGTCTTTTGTCGGTCGTCATGGCTACTCAGAATGCCAATCATACCTTCCATCTCGCCCGCTAGCACTCATCCCTCCTCCTTACTGGGCGGGAGGCTTGTCGCTCTCGCTGCTGGAAGAGGCGGTTGGCTGGAGCGATTCCGTTCGGCGTACCACCCCCTTCAGGCCTAATAGCCTTCAAGCGCCCTGGTGTGTGTGTGTTTTAAACGTGTCAATCTCCTTCCGAGGACGGCGCTCATTGGACGGATTTTGTCCTTTCCGCGTTCGCCGTCCTCATTGGTCGGCTCATCCGTCGCTCTCCTGGAGGGCCGCCACGAGTGGCGGAGGCTGGAGGGAAACGCCTTCCCGCTGCTGCTGAGGAGCGGGCGGTAAGGGAGGGGGGGTCGGCGCAGGCGCAGCGCTCCCCTCGGCGACTGTCGCGGCGGCGAATGGGGCCGGGCGGCACTGCGGAGGATGGAGCCGCTGCAGAACGGAGGCAGCGAGGAGACGGCTGAGGCGGCGCCTCCC